TTTTTTTTTTTTTTTACTTTTTCTGTGTTGGGTTTTTTTTTTTTTTTTTTTTTTTTTTTTTTTGGTTCATTGATTTTCTGAATTTTGTGTTTTTGAGTGAGTTTTATGACCTTTTATTATTATTTTTCCTTTTCTTTGTGTATTTTTCATGATATTGGTAAATATTATTTCGTATGAAAACTGAATGTGGCCTTGAAATTTGCAAATAATTATTCCATCCCAAATTCAGTCAAGAAATAGTAAGAACGCAAAAACAATTTAGGAGTAAAGTGTAAGACTATAAATATGTGAATACGTCATGATGATAATCAAAAGTCCATTATCTTATGTATATTTATTTATTCCCTCCGTACAAATGGACAATATTAGTTGATGAGAACCCAATAATTCCATCATCCTAAACCAAAACCAACTAAAGTCATTTCAAAAAGAAAGAAAAAAATGAGAACCCTTTCACTATCTCCTCCTCATCCTCACTACACTCACCCAGCTGTGCCCCAAAGCCGCATCAACTGCCTGCCACGTGGATGATAAGTCGGGTCTCCTTAGTTTCAACTCAGCCATCACCGCCGACCCACTGGGCATGCTCTCCTCATGGAAGCGAGGCACTGATTGCTGCACGTGGTTGGGCATCATCTACCGGGTTGGAACCCGGGTAACAAGTGTATCTCTTTCGGGTGAACCCGTAAAGCCCAACAGCTTTTTATCCGGTACAATTTCTCCTCTATAACAAAGGTTAAATTCTTGGAAGGGATCTATCTAACGGATCTCCAAAACCTCTCAGGTAATTTCCCAAACTTTCTTTTCAAGCTACCTATAACATCCAGCTTTATATTTCAATAAATAAAGCATTTTTATAACGAGAAAATTGCAATACAAAAGCTAATCTTGATGTTCTAGTACAACTCGATGTTTTTGAACATGTCAATCTCATGCTCTATGCTCATAATGACACATAATTACAACTATAAATATGAAGATGATGATAACTAATTACATGATAAAGTTTATAGCTATTAAGAAACTATCATCATAAAAATTAAGAAGGAGATTGTTGAGGAACATTTTTAAAGAGTGAAATTTGTGGATGAACATGAAGGTTAAAAAACTCAATTATTTATAAGGTAAAAACTAGTCTTTTTTTACTGTTGGAATAATGACTGGACAATTTTACCCTTAGTCGTTATGAACAGTATTCTAACCGTTGGGATCAGTATAGGACGATTTTGTCCTTATTATCTATTAGGAATAATTTTCTGACTGTATGAAGGAAATAGCTGTTAGAACAATATTTGGATGATTTTACCATTGGTTAATATTTTGAGAAAAATATAATTAGAGATATCAATCGATGTTCGAAACTATGGAGAATTATGGAGAAGACCATAAGGGATAAAAATAAAGACATAATTTAATTTTAATAGCCCGAGGTACTAATTTTAAGAAAATGACATTTTGAGAATAAATAGTTATGGGCCGAGATGACTTGATAGAATTTAATAGAAAATTAACTACTCAGTGCATATCAAGAATTATAATGAAGAAATTAGAAATAAAAAATTATGAATATAAGGGATAGAAATTGAAGTTTCATTATTAGGCCCAAATAATAGCAAGCCAAAAAATAGTGTTCAGTCCAAATAAAAAAAAAGAAAAAGAGAGAGATTAGAAGGGAGTGTTATAAGGATAAAAAGATTATGTATAAATTATTATAGAAATATAATAATCAAATATTACTATTTACAAATAATATTTTATTACGCATAATAAATGCATAATACTTTATAATTTTCCTATAAATAGGCCTTCAAAATTCCCAAACTTTAATATGATCCATTAGATTTTCACCCTATTGGTACGGTGAATTAGTTCACCCTGCCATACATCCTCCATCCCCAGTAAATAAAGTAGGAAAAAATTGCATATGTTTTCAAGTGGGGTGAAGAAAGAAAAAGAAACACCCCCAATTCGAAACGAACGCCGTTGCACTGCCTTCCCTCCTTATTCTGAGTATCTTTTTATCTCTCTAGTCGATTCTTAAATCAATACTTACAGCCGATATTTTTTTCTTTATTCAGAATTTATGTCTCGTTCATTTTACCGATTTGAGTTTTTAATTTAAATTTTATTACAGTTAAAAACTCTAAAAAAAACTTAAATTAAAAATTTTCATATAAAATTATATCTCAACTTAAATTAAAAACTCAAACGAGACGTTACCTTTTTGGATTGAAAACGAAAGAGATTGGTTGGTTTATAGAGTAAATTAAATCTCTGTACGTTTTTTTGACAGAGTAAAAATTGTTATAGAGCAATAGTCTTTGGATTGTCCTGTTCTTATTGTTTGTTTAATTACTCCGTCAATGTCCAATTGTTCATGTTGCTGTCCAATTGATTTTATGTTTGTTATTTGAAGTAGAGATTTTTTTCTTTTTTTTTCTTTGAAAACCTGATTGGTTATCTCGGATTAGTCACGGAAACCGGAGAATTATATCAGATATAAAAGATACATATAACTTTTTCTGCAGATTTGTATTTGTCACTGTATAGTATCTTGGTGGTTCTGGATTGAGTTTATAAACTTTCTTACTTTTATTGCCTAATTAATTAAGCTTTTGGACAAGACAACGTAGTTGTCTTCAAAAATGTGTTTTCTGGGTTTATGGTAAGTGTTTGTTCTTAAGTTAGACTAAATGTGTTAATGGAAGAGATAAGATAATCTTTTAGTGTGTTTCTCTTTTCATCCTTTAATCCTTTATACTATTAAATGTGGTCCCTCTAATGGTAAAAGCTCACCGCTGTTTTTAGAAAAAATGGTTTCTTTAGCCTTCTACCCTTTAATGGAAAGAGACAGAAAAATGCGAATAAATCCAAAATAGATAAATTATATGATAATTAATGAAATTAAGTAAGTGGGAAAAAAAAGACAAAAATACAGTGCGTTTAAAAAAAAATTTCCGGGTGAGGGAAGAAGGTGATAAAAGGAAGAAGAAAAAGCGAATCGATAAACCCAGTAAAACGACGCCGTAGCGGTGACTCTCTTCAAGCGGTAATCGCCGACCTCTGCCTTCCCTCTTTCCGGTTAGCTCGCGCTCTCTCTCTCTCTCTCTCTCTCTCTCTCTCCTGGAAGTAATTCCTTTCGTTAATCTACAGTGGAAGCAATAAATTTAATCCCTTTTGTTTTTGTTTGGACCAAAAATATAAGAGATTGGTTGTTGATAGAGTCAATTAAATCTGTACGTTTTGAATTATGCGATTCAGGGAATTTTTATTAATTGCGCCGAAGCCGAAGATTCTTTATATGTACAATTGTAGGCGAATTTACGACATTAAAAAAAACTCAGTTTAAGGTTGTCTTGTTAATTGTTGTTGTCATTGATATACCCACCTTTCCATCTATCTTATTACTCGACCAATCTCCAATTGGTTTTGTTTGTCTCAAAAAATTAAATAAGAAAGAAAAAGAAGGAAAATGTTGGTTAATTGGTTGAGCTATGCTTGATTTCGGTTTAACTATTTAATTACAGTTACTTTGAACTTGAATTTAACTGGAAACGGGAGTTGTTGATCAGTACTATATATTTCCAATCAAAACCTCCTTTGTTTGAAGGTGCGGATTCAAAGTGTTTTTGCATTTCTTTCTTTCTGATTGTTTGTACTTGTAAACAAAAAGTTGGGTATGAGCCTAACTAATTGGGACTTGGGAAGAATTTTACCTGTTTGATGCAATTCTGAATCAGATTGTTATCAAAGTCCGTCAGATTTTGCATGTTATTTGGTTCTGATATGATACCTAATTATTTGGGATTGTTTCTAACGTTCTTTTTCTAGCAAGAAAAAAGAAAAGAAAAGAAATTATTGATTGTTGCCGGGATTGTGTTTCATATTCATTGATATTATCAGTCACTGAGCAGGGTGTTCTGCTTCTAAGGCAGGTCCTATGGAAGGAGAAACTAGTAGTGATATTGTGGGCCTTACAGTTACAGACAAGAAAAATGAGAACTCTTCTGTTAAAATAAAGGTCTTGTTCTTTGCCAGAGCTCGGGATCTTACAGGACTAACTGATACGCCATTGGAGGTTCCGTCTGGTAGCACAGCCGGTGAATGCTTAAGCAAGCTTATGGCTGCGTTTCCAGGATTACAAGAGATCAGCAGTTGTGTGGTTGTTGCTCTGAATGAGGAATACACAAATGAGTCTGCAATTGTTAAAGACAAAGATGAGTTGGCCATTATACCTCCTATTAGTGGTGGCTGAGGGCTTGTTCTTTTGGAGTTTAACTTGAGTATAATACTTGAGTTGAATTTGAGTTATAACTTGAGTTGAACTTATAACTTGAGTTTGTGTTTAGTTGTGTACATTTGAGTTATGGTTTGAGATAAGAATCTTTTTGAGTTTGTGTTTGAGTGAGTCAAAACTTAAATTTGTATTTAGATAGTATTTTAATAAAAATTCAATGTTGATGAAAAATTTTAATATGGTATATGGGTCGGGTTTTATTCGTCTTTTCATTGTCAACGCATAGAAAAAAAAATTATCTCAATCAGAATTAAAACGAAAAAGTTATAGCATTTTTAAAAATAGAAAAAATACTGTTCATTAATTTGAGTTTGAGTTTCTGAACTCGAGTTGAAGGAAAAACTTGAACTCAAGTTTTAGTCATAAATTTGAGTTTGAACTCGAGTTTAAACTTAAAAGAACATGAACACGAATAAAATTATAACTTGAGTTACATTTTTTTGAGTTTTTCACTCAAAAGAACAAGTCCTGAATCACTTAACATTCATCAGCAATAAAAGGATTCAAGCCCCAGGATTTCAATTAAAAGGGACTTTTTTGGTCGTGGATATGTTGCTGTATTAAGTTTCATCAACGCCCACAGATTCTGATCTGTTCTCTCTTCCTTTTATTTTTTATTTTTTTTGGGGTACACCCTAGTGAAGAAAATGCTCTATGTAATGTGCTTTACAGTGTTGCACAAACTAAACGTGCTTTGACTGAATAATAAGATAGAATTCATGTAGTCTGCCCATGGTCTCCTTGTCACATCAAATTACAACGTCGGTAAAATTCTGACTAGGAATGCATCTTTGATAAGTTAGCAATACGTCATCTTCATATTCACTTTTATGGCACGCCAATGCGGTTGATATTTCCTCAAGAGTGCTAAGATTGCCTTTAGATAGTGACAACTTGGAGGCTGAAGGGTTATAGGAAGACTGTTCCGTTCACTTCGTTGATTCGAATTTAGAATTTGAGTTGAGATGTGACTTTATGTGAGAGTTTTTTACTGTAATAAAAAAATTAGATGTGATTGTTTGTTATAACTTTTTACTGTAAAAAAACTCGAATTTTAAACTCGAATCAGCGAAGTGAACGGGACCATAAGTAATTTCTTGGTTGGTCCAAGCACATGCATAAATGTGTTTGTGGGCTATTATAGGAGCAAGCTGTTTAGCATATGCCTATAGGCATAGACCAGTATTAAATCAAGGTACGTATCTGTCAAGCACCTTTAATTTGGTATCTAAGCAGTATTTTGTACATGATACTTTGGTGCTATTTTAGGTTCTCAACGGAATAATTAGCACGCTGCTTTATTAGAAGTTGATATCACTTCTGGGATTTGTGTGAAAGCACTTGGCCTCTTGATAACATATTATGCAAGAAACCGCGTATTGGACTGGTGGACTATGGAAATCACACATCACATAGCACATTGTTTGTTAGTGAGAAACTATGAACTATCATTCCAAAATGGCTGTCCAATAGCAATATTGTTAGGTTATTGACCATATGCCATGACAAACTTTCTTCGCATTTAGTCAGAACTTGTTCTTAAATATAAAGCATATTCAATGAAGAGTGACATTGTTGCTCGCAACAAAAGAAACTTGTTCTTAAATATAAAGCATATTCAAAGAAGAGTGACATTGTTGCTCGCAACAAAAGTGCGACTCAAGTTGAATAATATCACATCAACATATGTATATTCAAACTTCCAATTTGACATGTTTGCTGCAGCAGAGCTGCATACTTGACCATAAGGGGGAAGAAAAAAAAAAAAAAAAAAAAAAAAAAAAAAAACACCAGTACACCAAGAGAAATTATTGTCGGCATTTTATACAGAGGGATGGAAAAGCTTCTTAACTTAAAAGCCAGTAGGTACACGTGAAAGCAAATATAAATGTTTGGATACAAAGCGAAGGGGAGGCAGTAAAAACATAAATCTTATCTCAGACATGGCTGATGGTGGCTCATTAACACAGCACCTTCTTTCCCTTCTTTCACTTTTGTTTTTCTATCTATTTCCACATGAAGAATTCTTCACCGTAAGCTCATAACAGGCCATGGAGACACCCCAGGGGACGGAAGCGCAGGTCGAATAACAGGGACTCGTCTCACCACTGAGAACGCTTCATTGAGCCGTGCAGCACGACTCATGAACTGAGATACCTTCTGCAGAACAATTCAGTACAACACGTAAAATAGGCAATTAAAAACTAGTTCATGTAAACAGAAGTCCAACGCAACACACATTAAGTCCGTAATCAACAAAGCATATAAGCATCCAAATATTTCTTCATTACCACAATCAAACTAGGCTTAAGATCGTTTTGAGCAAATTTTCCTCATGAAACGTAGAGAGATCCAAATCAAAACCGTAAATGCAACACTCCATAAAAACTCTTCTCCCACTCAGACTAAATGCTGTATCTATTTCGTACAAGGGAAGATATAACACCTAATTGCGGAAAACGGAGTGAAAGAAGAGAACTCTTCTCTTATTATATATTTGATTTTCCCTCATCCAATCCTTCAAGTTTAGAAAGTAGAAGGATCAAAATGGGACTAATATTCTTGAATCCTTCACTTAACTTCCCACTTTCCCCTTCTATAATCCCTCCTACCAAACAATCTGTTAGGATTTTTATCAGTTGGCAATTTATTGACAATTGGTTGTAAAAATTCAAAAACAGGTTTCAAGATACTGAGATATGGTTTTTGCGGGCAGATTTTGTGTTGCTCAGATTTTGATCTCAAGTGCAGATTTTGTGTGCAGATTTTGAATTAAGTTAAGATGTAGATATTTGGGTGGTTGCAAATTTTGAATTCGAGATAAAGTTGCGGATATACTGTTGCAGAATTCAAACCATGATCATGATCTCAAGTTTGTTGCTGTAGATAGTTGCGGATATATTGTTGCAGAATTCAAACCATGATCGTGATCTCAAGTTTGTTGCTGTAGATTCTAAAGTTTGAATTCAAATTTTGAGAGAGCGACCTTCCAGGCAAAGGGATTTCGCCATGCGGATTTAAAGAGGAGTGGTGCTCGCTGAATCAAGCCATCTAGTTGATTCTACACGGCGGCGGCAAATTTTAAAGAGGGAGTCTTTATTTGTATAAGTTCAATTGGTGTTTGTAATCGTCTAGGAGTGGCCTTGCGGATGTAGGTGGTTACCGAACCGCGATACCAATCTCTGGCGTTCTTTATTTTATGTTTTATTTTCCTGCTTGATTAGTTATAAGTTGCTAAATTCGGAAAAATTATTAAATTGCGAAAAACGGATCTAACAATTGGTATCAGAGCGGGTCACTGACAGTAGATTGGTAAAATTTTGGGAATAGATATGTGTTCGCAGGGAATGGATTTTATGAGAGAAGTCAAGAAGTCAGGGGGAGAAAGATACATGTTAGATTGTTACATTCATAGGAAGTAAAATACAGGTTTATATTCAGTTTGCTAGGATATTGGAAGTAGGAATCCAATTGTCTCAGGCAAATTAACCATTAAAGACATGTATCAGATATTCATGGGAAGCGGACTGTGCAAGACGCCGATCTACAGTCTACCTCTACATTAGATTATCTTGCTGAAGACACTGCTAGGCAGTGGAGAGTTATGGCTATATTTTTTTTTCTTTTTGTTTTTGTCTTTGGCTATTGTTTTGCCAAAAAGGGGGAGTATTATTAGTTTTTGAATTTTATTTTGAGTATTATTTTATCGATTATGTTTTGTCAAAAAAGGGCCTAAGGGGGAGTTTGTTAGGATTTTAATTCGCAATTTTTGACAATGGTTTGAGAAGATGATGATGTGTTGAGCAAGTTTATCTGATCAAAGCATTTATATTTCAAGATGCAGTTTTGCAAATGAGAAGATCAAGTTGTTATCTTGCTGCAAAAAATTTTGCTGATGATTTGAATTTGAACTTCAAAAGATATTTTGTGGCTAATTCGAATTTGAAGATTTGAAAAGATTTTGAAGATCTGATATGGCTGAAGGAATATCGTGGAGATAGATTCTTTTGGACGGTTGCTTTGAATTTGAAATTGGATTTAAAGTTGATAATGAGGAAATAATATGAGCACATGCACGTCGAGGAGGAGAGACAAAACAAGGATAGTTGCGGGAGATAATTTGAATATTACTTGGGATTGTGATCAACCTAATCTGCAGCAGACTTTTGTAAAAGATCAGATAATGTTGCAACAAGTTGTGGAACAGATTGTGTGACGGTTTGAATTTTGAGTAAGTGTGGACATAATTATGAAGATAATTTAAATTAGACTTTGATTGTGCCAACGTGAAGATGAGAAATAGAAGTTCTACAGAACTCAAGACCACTCATTATGTGAGCTTTTTGGGTTTCACACATAATGTTTTGAGAAATTCTCATTATCTCTTCGGGAGAAGAAGTAGTAGTCTTCGGGAGAAGATATTTGCAGTGTTGAAGGAAGTTAAACCGTTTATCATTTTTCGGGAGAAGAATTTGAAGCTTTCGGGAGAGCGACCTATCAGACGAAGGGGTTTCGCCGTACAGTTTTGAAGATGAGTGGTGCTCGCTGAATCAGACTATCTAGTTGATTATACACGGCGGCGGCAAATTTTAAAGAGAGAGTCTTTATTTGTATAAGTCCGATTGGTGTTTGTAATTATTGAGAATTAGTTGATGATTCAATGTTTGGACGTGATCCCGCTGATGTATGTGGTTACTGAATCGCGATACCAATCTATGACGTTCTTTATTTTATGTTTTATTTTCCTGCTTGATTAATTATAAGTTGCTAAATTCCGAAAATTTATTAAATTGCGAAAAAACGGATCTAACACAATCATATGCCTCAAAATCCATCTACTAATCCTCCCACTTTCTCCTTCTACCAGAAACTAAACACCTAAAGCAATCATCTTTTGCAATTCTAACAAGAAGACAGGAAACCCAATTGCTTGTCATAGCAATTTCGCAAAAATTAAGAAAGAAAACACAAAAAACAAGTAAAGGAAACAGATGCAACCACCAATAACTGACCTTGTCGTCCATAGTAACCTTAAGCTGCAAGCTCTGGGTTTTGCGCTTCATCTTATACAATCTCCTCCCCAAAATCACAATTCCCAACATTGCAGCCGCCACGGAGAAGGTCCAAACAGGGCTAACCCTAAAAGCACAGTACTTCAACACCTCCAACGGAACCTTCCACCACACCACCATCCTCTTCTCTCCCTCCGATTTCTTCTTCACTTCTTCAATCTCTCCACTCTCCTTCGCATCCGCCGACTCCTCGACAATCGAAATCGAATTATTGTTTCCTTCCTCCAAATTCAAGGCTTGAACTTCCCCAATTCCTTCAAATTCAGCAGGGCTTACCTCCTTCTTCGCCTCGGAGTCGCTCAATTTCCGATCATCAGAGCGATCGCTGGCGGAATCGGACCAGAAATCGCCGGGATGATGATGAATTCCGGCGACGAAGCGAGTTTCGGGAACGGGATCGATCCAGCTAGGGTTGTCCGATTCAACCGAACCATTCTCTTCTTCAATCGAATCCGCCAATCTCTGCTGATTATCGAGGGAGAAGTAATCGGACCTGATCATTCCCTCGGAATCGCCATCCATTCCATCGTCGAAATTACCCCTGGGATTCTCAGTCACCAACTCGGATGAGTTTACCAGGTCAATGGTATCCGAGTTGTGGTGGAGGACCTCCCAATCGTTGAATTCGCCTCTCTCGCCTTCCATTGATGAGAGCTTGGAGATGGAGAATCAAAATTGAAACCCTAACCCTTGGAAGTGGAAATGAACGAAATGGAAGAGTGCTCTAGTCGTCTTCTAGAGGAAGAGGAAAGAAAAGAAAAAGGTAGTTTTTATTGGTATAGACCACAAGACAAAGGCAGGTATTATTAACGCCTTTTCAAATCCTAAGTTAATACGTAATAGTACCAAAACTAGTTTATCTCTTTTATGCTGTGTTTGGTAGGAAGGAAAAAAATATGATAGAAAGAAAATATAGAAGTGATGAAAAATAGTAATTATGAAAAGAAAATTGATTTTTTTTTATGTTGTTTGGTATGAGAAAATGGAAAGAAAATGAGCTTACCTTCACTTGTTTGGTATTGGAAGTTAAATTGAGAGAAAAGAAAAAATCTTACTCATAAATTACTTTTATACCCTTAAATTTTTTGCTTAGATGTTGATGGATAAAATTGTAGTTTAGTAACTTTACTCATTTTAATGAGTTGTCCCCATTTTTTATCCCATTTTCTGTCCACTTGTGGAAAGAAAAAAAATAATGGGGCCTACATGTATTATTTTTCACTTCGGGCCTGTTTGTTTGTGTTTTCATTTTCGTTTTTCACGGTTTTCAAAGCAAAAAAATGAAAACGGGTGTTAAAAACGTGTTTGGTGCAAATTTTTTTAAAAAACAAAACTAAAAACGTTTTTGTCTTTTTGTGGAAATCAGAAAACGAAAAAAATGTGTTTTCATTTTCTCGTTTTCATTTTCTGTTTTCTGAAAATAGATTTCACTTTTTTTTTTTTCATTTTCTTCCCTCTTTTCTGAAACCGTTTTTGTATTATATATGTTTATTTAATATATTTATTTAATATATTATTATTTAATATATTTAATAATATTATTTATATA